GCTATTAAAAATGCCCAATTTATCAGTTCTGCATGGGTGGGGGGGTGAGTATGGAAAAGGGGAAGGACCGAACCATATTGTTAATGGCGCAAAATCCGGGAAGCAAATAAAGCAAGCACGCGACTCAGTCGCATGGCCGACAGGTGCTGCAATGGCCGCCCGTCTGAGCCGGACTCGCCCCCTCTCTTTCGCCCGCCAGCTACCCCTCTCTTTCTGCCGGCAGGGGGTGGCTTGCGACCTTCTCCCTTCCGCACCCTTGCAACTGTTTCCTTTCGTCCTGTGGGCCTGCACATGTGTGTGTTTGTGTGCTGGCATTCCCTGGCAGTCGAGGAATGCCAAAAGTGCATTTCCCCTCTCTTTCTTGTCGCATATACCCCTCTCTCTCTCTCACTCTCTGGCCTGCAATTGTTTTGCAAAGAAGTCCCCTCGAACCGTGTGCTAAATGTCAAGTTCAAATGGCAAAGTTCTTCAAATGAAATGATGCTGGGTGCCGAGAACTGAGAACTGAAACTGGGAGTACTGGAGTTTGCAGACGGAAGTGCAGTTGGAATTGTTGTCCCACCTCGAGTGCACTTTATGATCTGTGAATTTGTTGCCAATTTGCAATTGTTGCTTTAACCGTTTAGTTAATTTGGCTTGAAAGTTTTACCATCCTTGGGGGAATTTCGGATATGTAGCTTAATGGAGAGTTGGCCACCATAATATGTTTGGAATTCGACATTGTACTGAAGCTAGTTGGTCATGATAACCATTTTTGGTGTTACTAAGTATTTTTATTAAAAAATTTGGTTATGGCACTGTAGATATTTCTTAAGATTGTAATATTAAACAAATTGTTTTGAAGGAAACGCCTAACTTTAATTTTTATCGTTTTTATAGTGGTTTGTATTTAAAATATGAACTTGGTAATTTTCAAAGCTTCATAACATTACTTACATACACTGTTTTCAGCTTTACATTCTTGTCACTTTATCAGAGCTACTAAATTTGCAAGTATAAAAACATTCCTAACAGCACACCTTTCAAGATTGCATTCGGATTGACCTTTGTTGACCCCTTGGGGACACTTTGCACCCTGCAAGTTCTCATTACAACGGTTTCTCTTCTCCTAGAGCTGCAAAAAGTGTCTTTTTTTGCGCACACACACACAGAGGGACTTGCAAAAACGAACTGGCTTTTATTAGTGTGTGTGTCTTCTACTTGGGCGCGTGTGTTAAGCTTCACTTGAATGTGATTTATGTGATCCGTTGCAAATTTATGGCCCCAAGTTTTGTTGGCTCACACACACAGACGAACATAGTAGACCATGGGCAAAACTCTTTCTGGCCAGAATTACCGCGTGGTGTGCCTTTTGTCCCCCTTTTTACTGTTGTGGCTGCAATTGTTGCCGTTGTCAACGTTGCGCCCCCTTTTTCCTTTTCCCCTTTCTCCATCCACATTTTCCTTTCATTTCCCCACCCCAGAAGCTGCCAAGTGACACAAACAAACAAAAGAATGGCAAGGAGTGGGAAACCCCAGCAGTTGTAGTGCATACAACTAACTATTTTCTATATATTAAGCGCCAGGCACTTCCAGCTGCAGTGGCGCCCCTGGCGGCCAAGCCCCCACAATGATTGAATTGTCAACTTTGTTTCCTTTTGAGGATGTTTTGGGAGGTATGGAGGTAGTAAAGGGATTTAGCATGCACAGAAAAACTTTTATATTTTTATAATTTAAAATAAATCAATCCTTAACTTTAAGAACCATTGTACCAACATAAACAAATCTTTTATAAATGGTAAATAAGTTTTTGTTATGAATTCTAAAATATTCGAAAAAATCCCTTGCTATCCAAAATATTTCTAATGATGATTTCGTTTATAAGCTCTGTTAAGTGAAATTTCTCCTCGTGCACTGATCCTCGCTTCTTGTTGGTAACTTGACTTCTCAAATGCGCAGCGAATACTAAATATCCGGACTCGCTTTTCGCATTCCCCAGTCTCCTGGGCCAATGTCAAGTGTTCCACTGAAGCCCCCTACGTTTCTCCACCGAATTATGAAATTGTTAAGCGTCCGCGGCGTTTGCAACTCTAAGTGACATTTGTGTGACAGACATGTGCGCGGCGTGCATCCGTGAGTTTGCTCCGTGACACACGTGCTTCAAACCCACATCCCACTGTAATCCTAAGTATAAATGTATATATATTAATCCGATCTGGATCCATCACACAAAACGGGCTGGCGAAATTTCACCTCGCGGCGGGTCAAGTGATTTGTTTACGAGCCAGCCGAACCTCAACGGCTGGCAATTTGTTGTGACATGTGTAAGCGGCACGCCGGCGAGGGGCAACAACAACTCATTAACCCATGCTGAACTCTGCAGCCCCCTTAGCCAACTGACAGCTACAAAATTGAGTTAGTTAACAGTTTTATACGCCGAGGCGCGCATTTCGCGTGTTTCCGCGAGGAATTCAGATACAGATACAGATTCGGACCCGGTCACCGGTTGTCGTTTTGGTCGCCGAGATGCAACCGCAGCGAAACTGAAGACGGTCGACGGGACAGATAACACCCAAGAAAGAGCCTGGCTCGGGATCCGAGACGCCCAGACCAAGACTCGGGGGACCCAGCAACAAAGCAGCCCAAGTGACACTCACAAAATCTGACAGAGGCAGCAGCGGTTTTACCAAGTTGTAGTTGCTGTGAATGCACTGAGGAAAACTCGAAATAGTTTAAAAAATTCCCTAAAAATGTTGCTTACTAAAGTATAAACACAATTTAAATTTAAAAAATATTTTATGACCTACAGACTTAAAAAAAATGCAAGCTTTAAAACAATATCAATATAAAATATATACCCATTTAAGGATAAATTATACATTTCATATGTCAGCTAATTTAATTATAAAATATTTTGTTAAGCCGATAAAAATGTAAATAAAAATAAAATAGCAGTCTTAGCTTACATCTCTGATTTAATAAGTCAACAAACTGTATAAGTTTTTTTTAAATAATAATAATATTAAATAATGAACATTACTTTTTCGCAGTGCATTGTTGCTGAGTGACTTGCGCGCATGCGCAGCCGTTTTGCTTTATTACAAGGACAAGGGCTGTGCGCAAGGGGGGTGAACGGGGGCTAGGGGAGCTCCGAGCGAAGGCCTGCCAAGTGACACATGAAAACGAAACGAAAATGACAGCGGCAAGTGACACTTGGCCGGCAGCAGGAACAGCAGCTCAGAGGATCGCAATGGCGGTGGGCAGGGGCGATATCTGACCATTGTAATTTCATTTGTAATTAGCTGAATGCTGTACGAGAGCGATCCGTTGAGTGTCGCATGGCACAGTGGGCCAAAATGCCAGGGGCAGTGCCAAAAAAAATCAAAATAAAAGAACAGAACAGAACAGAAAAATCAAGGGAGCCTGGTGCGACATTTTGGTGCGCCGAATGCCATATTTTATTTCCATTGCCAAAAGTGTCATGTTACAGAGATTTATGGGCGCTGTCACTATGCTGTCTCTCTCTTTTTCTCTCTACCTCTCTCTTTCTTTCGCTCACGCCCAAAAATTTGGTCATGTTTTGTGTTTGTGTCACAGACACAACAACACAACAAAGTTGCGCATAAATACGGAAAAATACTCTGACCAATTCCAAATGCATCGAGTGCGATAAACAGGGCCCGAAATACTTGGCATACGACTTTTGGCCAGTTATCAGCCACAGTTTGGATGGGTGATTTACGGCCGAAAGTATTCCCAATACCCAAAACTACCTGTTCTATCGATCTGTGGGCCCTAACTTTCTTTTCCATCCTCCGGTTCGAATGTTTGGGCAGCTCAGGTGTCAATACACTCGCTTACGGTAGCCGCAGAGGCGTCCGATGCCCAGTCTTAGTCCCCTCTACCCACCAAACCAATCCAATCCCATCCTATACTATCCCATCCAATCCAATCCCCCTTCCTGGCCAAAACCCAACTGACAATGACATATTTGGCTGGCACTTTCATCGCACGTCCATGTTAATATGCTCAAGATTTATGGCCCCAGCTGACAAAGGAAATGGCATTCTGGCTCAATTGTCGTTGCTGTTGTTGTGCACATCCATTTTGTTGCTGCAGCGGAAAGTTGCATAATTTTTATGGACACTCGTTAATAGATCATCGATTGAGATTACAGGGAATCGTTCGATTCTGGTTCGGTGCCACTGCGGTGGGTCCGGGGTCCCTTAAAATTCCCCTGAAATCAGGGGACATTTTGTGGACGTGATTTTGATTTCGATTGGGAAGGTGTTGGTTAGGGGGTGGGTTCTATTTTTAGTTAGGGAAGGAAAAAGATTTAGGCTATACAAAATTAATTTGAATTTTTTTGTGTATAGCATCTGTTACTATTAATTTGTTCACATCATAAATCAAATCATAAAATCATAACTTTTTAACTCTTACAAAAGCTAGCACCTATAATATTCAATGAGAATCAGGTAAATCCAACCAAATGTCTTATCTGAGAACGTCTTTATATGATCTCAATTCGTATAACAAACTTATACACCTCTCTAACATCTGTCTAATCAGAAGATTATCTCACCTTTGCCAAATCCCATTCAAGGCGGCGAATATCGTTTACGGTCTACGGTCACCCGAAATGTTCCAATTCGAATAAAGGTGAGATTCATTCCAGCGAGAGCACATAAATTAATGCCCAGAGCAGGGTCTAAAAACCGGCTGAGCGAAAAGATGATCGATCACCAGGTGAGCGAAAGAGAGGAGCCAGATAAATAGAGAGAGAGCAGAAGAATGAGAGACCAACAGAGAGAGGCAGAGCGCGCATACCTGTGCGGTGAGCAAGCAAACACCTTTGAGCATCAGGTGAAGATCACAGTGGTTTTCCAGACATTTTTGCTGACATTTCCAAAATGGGTTCACGCACGCTTACCACTACACTTGTTCCTGAGGGTGATCCGTCACTTGTATCTATGAGTGATCCCTTCCAGGTTCATTTCGGTCATTTGCCCAACGGACATTGCGCTGTCATGACGTTTGCTTCTTTTTTCGGCTCTACGCGATCAGCTGATCATGATGGCCGCCAAAAGCAGGTTTTCAACCCAACCGAAACCGAAACCGAGCGTTATTAATCATAAGTCGAAAACGGAAAGAGAGGGTCCCGAAAACGAGTGAGTGAGTGAGTGGGAACGACAACAAATGCTTTTCAAATACACCCAAAATTTATGGCCTGAAGTCAAGCCGACGGCAAGCAGTCCGCGACATGCACAAAAGTCATTTATTTCGCGGACTCTGCTTTTTGACCTAGAAAATCAAAAATCGGTAGCCGCTGCGATTCGTATCTCCCAGATACAGATACACACGCACTTCCGCTGCGGCCGAAGCCATAAATTATCTGCACTACATTTCCACATTTTGAAAACCAGGGGGGGAATGAGGTTCCTTTCGGGGCTTTAATTTCAAATCCCTAACTCGCTGAAAGTTCCGCAACCTTTAGACCCTTCATTTGTCCGCTGACCAACGCCTCGAACGGATCTTTGCAGCTTTTGCAGCCGTAGCCGTGATCTTGACCAAGATCGAGGCCAGTTTACCGCCGGCATTTCGCGATCTTCGCAGCGCGCTCTTGTGTCTTTTTTGCTCTCCTCTCGTTTCTCGTGTGTTTTTGCTGATCTGGAGCAAATTGGTTTTTGGCGGTTAATAAATTTTCAAATTAATTGACTAATTGCATACCTACAGCGAAGCGAACCGAACCGCCATAAAAGTGAAACGAAAAAGCAAAAGATACGGATGTTAATTCTGCGATAAGACGGGTTCCCTAATATTCGAAGTCATCGCGAGTAAATATCGCTTTAGTTACAACTCCCCATAGAGGTGGTCCCATTTACAATCTATCTGTTTTTTCCAACTCGAACCATTCATTAACTGTGACTTAGTAAACAAACTACCATTTGAAAATTGTGTTCGCTTTGGATCCGAGATATAAACGGTTTAATGACACAATGATATGGTAAATTACGCCACTGCAAATGGCATATTCTCTGCGGACTGCAATCACACCAGCTAAAAGGAGTTCAAAGTGTTTTGTGCTATTTGAAGAGTGCTTATTGACTTTACAAATAAATATACGGCGTTTGACCGTTTTTTAAAAGCTTACATTAGCTGTGAGGAAAATATTTAATGGTGGTTTTTTTTTTGCTAAGCTATGGAAAATCAGTGCTTTAAAATGTACCTGGATATGGAAGTATATACTCGAAATAAAATTATGGACTTCGATTTATATAGGTACTAAACACTGGTGGAACTTGCTTATATATGGAATACAGTTATTGCTGATTATGTATATTTATTTGATCTAGTTCCATAGTTTTCATGTTCATATTTAGGGGTTTAATACCTCTGTGAATAATAGTTTTATCTGTATCTTCCTTATTTCCCAAGTTTTAGTGCGAGTTAATGCACACACTTTGCCACCTCGTTCAGACCTCCCCGAAGTGTTCATTACGGCAATGAAGCCGAAATTACTAATTCATTAATTGAAACCTGCCCGGTAACATTCAGTCCGGTTCTGATTCTGATTCTGACCAGGCCAGATGTCCATTGGCTCGCAGGCGACACATGCCAGGATGTCCTTGCCATTGCCACCCCCTTTTCGCCCTCTTCGTCCTTTTGGCCTGCAGATGCTGCAAATGCCAACGGTAAAAACGAAAGTGCCCTGTTTTGCCATTTTATGAACTGTTTCTGCTCCGTTGGAGGGCGTACAACACTTACACTTGCCGCACACAAAGTGCTCCCCAGTTAATAATTTCGAAGTGTGTAAAATCAAATTGCCAGCACGTTGCGAATGCGGAGTGTCAGTCTACATGTGTACATATATGTTGGCCTAATTTGCCAGTGATTTGAAGCTCATCATCATCAAGTTATTGGAAGAATTCTTCTTTGAGCTTTGGTTCTCGAATAATTTATGCATAAGCGTGATGCGACAGTTTTTTGACTTTCTTTTTCTCTTTTAGCATATGTGGAATTTTTGCACCCTGCACATTCTTTTATTGTCTATTTTTTGGGTCTGCTGGGACGGACATTTGCCCGTATTGCAGGTGCTGTCGTTTGTTTGTCTGGACTCGGTCTCTTTCTCCTTTTCCATTTCTCCCTTTCTCTTCTGGCTGTTATTGTGTAATGTCTATGAATATGAATTATGGAAATTGCAGAGCCACAACGACAAGGACAACGACCAGCGAACAAGAGCCTGAGTATTCACAATACTCACAGTCGCATTTGGCACCATTTTTTTGTAGCCCCTTTTTTGTCATTCGTTTGCGAATTTTAAAACTCTCCTGGGGGGATTTTTTGTTGATTTTTGGGGGCGGTGTTTCCGAATATTTGCAGGCCATTTTTTCAGGTCGTTGGAACAGTGACCGAGTTTCGCTTTGTTTTCTGGGTTCGATCTATTTTAAAGGGGGCTTAACACGCTTTCATACAAATTCTTTAACACTTTAAATATTGGATTCTAGTTTTAATAATATCTTGAGAAAACCAAAAAAGGACACAGTACCAATTTGTATGCACATCCCCCTAAATTTAAAAGTCCCCAGGCGAGCCTGCTCCTATTAAAATCACATAATTTCAATTAAAAACGAACACCGGCTCTGGTGATTTCGGAATTATACGAGCAAATAAAGAAAAGGAGCTCTCGGTCGCCCCCGACTGGCCACGCCCCCTGCGTCGGACATCCGCCGCTGACATTTACATTTAATGCTTGCAAATTTAACAAATAATATTCAATTAACAATTTGAATATGAATTTATTACAGGGGTGCCGGTGCCGGTCGACGGAGGCCGGACCGCGCGTCCAAAGTGGTAACAACTTCCACATCGCCAATCGACATGTGAGGGGAGGGTTTTAGCGGGAAGTAACGAGTTGGCCAAGTGGCCGACTTGTTTACCCTGCCAGCAGCAAGCACACAAGGCGAAAAACAGACAAAAAACAACGAAAAACAAAAAAAAGAGCGCAGAAAACAAAACAAAGCCAGGGAGAGGGAGAAAAAGTTATGTGAAAAAGGTGGGAAAATGCAAGCATTGTTAGCCTTTTGGCCAGGCTAAAAGGTAACGAAGCATGCAGCCACTGACGGACAAACGGACAAGCGGACAGCCATACGGACATTCAGGTGGAGGAAGCCGCGCAGGAAGCGCAAGGAGCATGGCACAACTCCTGGCAGGCCGCACATTTCAATAATTATTAACTGCAACATGCTACATGCAACATGGCCACATGCAACCTGCAACACGCCGCACAGTAGCAACACACACACACTCACACTCAGTCAGTAACTAGGGGGACCCGCAATTATCAAAACTTGTCCAAATTGACATTTTTTCCCCCCCTTACAGCCAGGTGGACACACATGGAGATGGGGGCGTCAGCCCGTTGGCCATTGCATTTTGGCACGTTGCGGATTTTGAAATGCAAACACGGCATTTAATTCTATTAAGGCCGCTATTTAATTATCTCTTGCGGGTACGGACCGAAAACGCAGCTTTCAATGTCAGTGAAGCCGGAAGAGAGTGGTTCCTCTGGCTGGCTCGAAGACCCCTCCCCCAAAAGTGCCCCTTAAGTGCTGGCCATAATCCACAGCCGGGAGCAGCGGGCTTATCGGAGCTTATCTGCGAGTGCCAAAAGTGATTCCACACGGAGAAAATTGCAATTGGGTTTATCTCTAACTGATCGTAATTGTATGTCAAATTGATTTTTGTCTATCAGATTAAAAGAATATATTTATTTTTATATGTATCAACTTGGTATTAGCAGATAAACTTATGAAGAATTAAATATTAGCCTTACATCCAATAAAAACTCTCTTTATTGGGGTTATATAAAATGTATTTTAAGATCAGTACGTTTTTACTAAACTAAGCATTTGCTTAGAGATTTATTAAAGGAAGTTAACTACTTTTCTCTCCGTGCACGGTTCGTGGATCTTGAATCTGGGATAGCTGATCGCAGATCCCCAAGTAGCTGCCCACTTGTTGCGCCTGTGCCAACATTTAGCTACCGATTTGCACGAGATTATCAATTGAATATAAATAATAAGTGGGAGCGAAGTGGCTGACTACGGAGCATCTGGGTGGCTCAACATCGCTGATGGCCCCGCAATTTTTCGCCTCAATGCACCGCCAACAATGTATGTAATTTGAGTGGCCTGCCCCGCGCAAAAACAAAAAAAAAGAAGCTCAAGACCCGCGCTGATCAGAGGGAGTCTCCCCATCCCCAAGTCCCCGGCATTTCCCTTGTTCACGTGTGTAATTGGATTTTAAGAAGTAGCTGCGCGAGACAAGACTGATTGATAACCTCGCATCAAAAGGTCCCAAACAACAGGCTGAAATAAACGCCTTCAGTGGCTTTGGGGCTTTGATGTTCGCGTTCGGCAGCGAATATCGTAAGCGGTTTTTGTTTAGACGAATAAGTTGTACACTAAAATCAGGGGGTAATACAAAAAATATATAGCAAAAAAATGTTCAGCCTTATATAACCAGTTTGCAAAAAATTCTAGTTTATATATATTTGGGAAAGGGTTTTTAAACCAAGTTTTAAAACTGCCTTGAAAAACTTTTTTTTTGACTTAAGATATTTATACATTACAAATTTTTGAATCTCTAAAACTTCTAGGAATCTGATTACACAAATTTTTACCGCTAAATTTCTTCAATGTTTCTATATTTTGTAAAAATATTATAACAGAATTTTGAATGAAAAGAGTATTCAAATACTATAAAAGTTTTTTCAACTGTGTCTGAAATCCATAATTAAACAAAAATATATGTTTTAATATTCATATTTTTATCTAAAAAACTGTTAATTAAGTGAATTTACACCCAAAGTGCAGGGTATGTGGGGAGAACACGCAATGGGGCTGCTCGATCGGCAGCGGGAACAAAAGCTGATAGCACGAGGTACGATAGGGAAAAGGGAGCCGCTCGAACGAGGCGTTCAACCGGGCCCAGATCTGGATACCCCCACTCCACCCTTAACCCATTCCACCGTGCGTGCTGGCCGCGTTTGTTGGCCAATTGAATTGCCATGTTTAATATTAATTGCCAGCGGAGCAGGCGGCTCGAACATGGCCAAGCTCTTTCGGCTGGAGCGTAATCATGGGACAGTGAATCAATCATTTCCACACGCGGCCCCCAGGTTTTCCCGGCCCACCCACAGCCCCGCCCCCTAGGTTCATAAATTTAGCCCACCTAAAAAAGTGTGTATGCTAGGGTATTTTAGCCACCGACACCGCTAAATCATATGTTAGTAGACTAACTGCTCTACACTCTAAGATCTAAACTCTATACTCTATTTTTCGAAAACTTAAGAGCGAATAATGTAATGAAATAAAAGTGGAAATTTTCTTACCCATGTCTGTTGATATGCCGCCGTATTGTGTTAAATCAGATCTTATCTTACCTGAAAATGCAAGCAAAGCGGAGAGAAGAAAACGTTTAAAAAATGTGGAATCAAAATTGTTTGCTCTCGAGAGCAGATCTTGAGATGCAGATGGATGTTGTTTGGAATATGGGGGTACGTGGGGATCTGGGGGGCAACTAGGGGTTAAGCAGCCGCACGTGGTGCGGAGCTGGTTAAGATTGGCTAACCAAAGCCTTGTTGTTGTCGGTTGGATAATGGATATGGCATAGAAAAAGATGAAAAGGTGCACAAAAATAAGTGATAATTGAGAGTGATCAAGGGAGTAGAGATTATTTAACAAAAAACGATTTGTAAAAGAGTAATTAAAATATTAAATAACAATATATTTTGCATAATATCCAGAACAAATGTATAATGCATGATGTTCTATGGGCAAGCTATAATCAAGATAATTATGGGTGTTTTATAACTACAAGTTAAACTTATTATTCGAAGTCTAAAGATCTAATTTTAGTAATGAAGGCTATTGATTACTGATAATCTGCCCTCCCGCATTAATTAAAGACATATTATAGTGATTTTTCCATCAGACGTAATCCATTTGTAATAACTTGAGTTCTAAACCACTCAGAATACACCCCATAGCTCTTGATAACTCGTCGGGCACTATGAGAGTCGTTCAAAGTTTGAACTAGGGCTATCAATCCCATTTAGACTGATTCATGGACACCGTACTATCGGCTCTTTCTATCGCATTTGCTGGATGTCTCGCCTTTTTTCACGATATTTAGCGTCGCCTCAGCTTTGTTTATGCCATGAAAGTGCAAAATGTAAACAATCCGAAATGCCAACGCCTCGAAAAGTGGGCGATCGGGGGGCTGGCGAGGGGGCGTCGGCAGCTTGCCGTGGAAAAGGTAAAAGTATAAAAATATGATTTAATGGCAGCGATAAAACACGTGTGTATTTAAATATGCGCGCCTGGCGCCTGAGTAAACGTAATTTCCAGCTCACAGACACAGGGAAAAGCGAGTGCCGCACACAGATACTGATACTATGTGGCCATCCAGACGCAAAGAAACAACAAAGAAAATATTAAATTAAAAAGACCAAGAAAACGGCCAAAAACTATGAGAGCAAAGGGTTTTAAATTTGACAAACGCTTGGTTCTTCTCTGTCTGTGTTTTTTCTTGTCTGTAAATGAAAATAAAAATTATGAAAGACGGGAAAAAAGAGGAAAAGAGGGCCAGCCACTTTAGACAAATTCAAACAAATGGCTGGGAAAAGGGGGGATGGATGCTGAATTCTGTTTACATGCGACGCGACTTGTAAAAATTAAACATTTAGTTTGCGGTCTTGCCCCTTGGAAAACTCAACCCTCGCCCCCTTGTGATTTTTCACACCTTTTCCGCGGGGGGAAATGATTTTTATGACTCTTTAAGGCGGCGCACGCTTCGTTCTTGTGGGAGGATTAGCCGCCAGTCGCATAAATGAGAGAGAGAGGAAAAGGCAGTTGGAAAATCTCTGGAATGAGAGCATTTTCCGGCTGCAGCTTGCGGCGTCTTTGGCCTTTTATTGCCCCATCAAAGGGGCTGATATAAATCTTAATTGCCGACCCAAATAAATAGACGCCGAAAGCATGTGGCATACGGAACTTTGAGCAGAGCATCAAGTCAACAGAATGCAACTTGAGTGCCAGAGAGATTCACTTTCGAGTGGAAAACTCGTTAGCTATTTAGCATAAACACTTTCCCAGTTTTGACCAGCAAACTGATAACAACTGAGCTGGAGAACTTGCAGCCAGACAAAGTCATTAAGGAAACATTAAATTGACATTAATGTGGTGCCCAGAAGAGGAGGCGAAGGATCCTAAAAGTTCTGACCAAAGTTCTCGCTCAGATAAATCAAAATAGTAATCTATAAATTATAGTGTACAAGCAAATGTTTGGAGAATGCGGCGAACAAATCGATGACCCAACAACGAAAAAATATATATTCCGAGCTGCTATAACAGTTACCCACATTTTGGTCAAGGCAGATCTCGTAAATCATGGAGAGCTGGCAAAACAGGCTCTTGAGAGAAGGTACCGACGAATACGAAATGCCCTAATTTTGTATCAAAGAGTGGGTAGTGCAAACTTGTTTAAAAAGATGGGGGTTTTCCTAAAAAAACATGGAATAATACGTTAAACTCTTCATTCATATACCATAGGAATTCTTTTTAATTTTCAATGGCGTAGAGACGCGAAAGAAATATTTATGCCTAATGATCTTCAGGCTTGTGAACATGTGGTATGTGTACAGTGAAAAAAATATATGTTCTTTTCTTTTAAAAATAAAATTAATTAAAATGTTGGCCATTATAATATTATACTTATGTATTGGGTATTTGTTGTGGATGCTTAACAACATAGTTATGTTTAGTTAGGATTACTAAAATTGTTGTTTAACATAAATATCTTTCTGTGCAGATCTATTGGCAGAACCACCTGAAGCCACTCGACTGGACAATTGTGAACCCATTAATCTTTGTCTTTTTAGTCTTGGAGATTTCTATCTTAATTGAAGCTCATTATAATATGCGTTTCCTACGATGCGGCGTGTTTGTTTGCTGGTAGCCCAACTTCTGTTACACAACCCGAAGACAAGCGATATTCAAACGAGATGGAGATGGAGATGGGGGTCTAGAGACTAGTGGGCAGCTTTTGCACTCGGAGAACTTGGACTTGGATCTGTGGGGTTCGTGGGGATCAGATCGCAATCAGGCCGTCCGATCACAATATATATGAAATCCCGGCAAGAGGCCACCACCAATGAATTATTAATAATAAATAAATCATTATTAAAATCAAAATAATACGCAAATATGCATATTATCGGAAACAACATGGTATTGTGTGAGTGTGTATGGGTTTCTTTTCATGTTTACGCCACTTTCTCATACAGACACACAAGTGGTTATAATGAATGATTTGTTGTTTTATAATAAACACGCCGAGCAGCGATGTTGGCGTCTTCCAAGTGGCGATATGGCTATGACGTAGCCACCAAAGGGTTAAGGGGAGGAGGTGTTCTTGTGTTTTGGTCACTAACGTCTGCTATATGTTCCCATACTCCCTCGTATATTGTATATCCCTGTATTCACGACCCTTGTCTTTTTTGGCATGGCTGCACTCTACCCATCTCTTTTTAACCCCCTTGCATGTGTGGCTTTTTGGCCGGGCCGTGTTGTTGTTTTTATTAGGTATCAAAAACACCTTAAAACATGATTTTGCAACTGCCAAGAGAAGACGTCCGCACAGTGGGCCCACAAATATGAATAATAACTGCTTGTTCACATGGCATTTGTATGTTAAAGAGATGATCGATAACGCCAAACCGCCAATGTCACAATGAGGAAGAAACGCGCAGTACATATATACTCTAATAATTATTTCTTATCTGCGATCGGTTCCATATATTATGGTTATTAAATGTGAAAAATACAACACCTAATCATTTTTTATTGGGGGCATTTAGGGGAGAACTATGAATGGCAAATGGTGATTATTCTATTCGGAATTGATGCTTTGGAATATAGTTGTTTTTAACAGCTTGGCGCCACCCATTTTCTGCTATTAACCTTAACATTTAAATTATATTGAATTATGTTCTTCGATTGAGCTTAATTGATTTCAATTATAATAAATTTAATTCTATAAATGTGTCATATCTTTTTAAAAATTCTGAATCATATAAATTCTTTTCAACGTTCTAAAAATTTTATTAGTATCGAATAATTTCGAATATCGTAGTCTTTTAAGTTTGTAAAATGCTTTATTTATTTTACAAACTAGAAATTTAAAAAAAAACTTGTTTGAACTGTATTTTTTGAATGATTTTTATTTTTTGAACCCAAAATCTTAGCTTTAGCCCATTGCAACTACGCGGGCCTCGAAAAATACGAGAGTAAAGCCCAAATTGCTCCTCGCCCTGCAGCTCCTCGTGGTTGTTGTTCTGTTCCTGTTATTGTTGTTGTTGGGCCATGTGTCTGGGCCACTTTGTGTTGTCGTCGTTGGCGACGTCGACGTCTTGCAACTTTGGCCTCCTCGACCGGCCGCCGCAGTCGCAGTCCGAGTCCAACGACTTGAGGACCGCCAAGGTGCTTATTAAATTCCTTATTTAAAAATACATTAAAAAAATGCAAGAAGCTGCCCCAGAACCCGAAAACCAATCCCCAAAATAAAAGAAGCGATCCCCGGGAAGGGAGACTCTCGAGGGGCATCTCCCTAGCATCCGCCACAGAAATTGCGATGCTCACAGGCGCTTTGATTTGTTTCTGATTTTCAGATTTTGCATTCTGCACTCCGCTCCTCGGGAAAAAATGATTAAAAGCGCGCGTTGAAAGGTTTTCCTGTGTGTGCGTTCGCTTGCACTTCGCCATTTACATAATCAGCGGCATCATCGACGCACTTCCTTTGGCAATTAATTGCATGTTGCAGTGGCAACTGTTGCCCGACATTTGAACTGCAGAATTTTGGAATGCTTTACAGCCCACAAGGCCCATTAACCTTGGGAGGATATGACGTGCCCTCCTCGACTCTACGTGTTCGCTACAATTGCAGGTAGATGATGTTGGCCAGGATACAAGGCATTCCGATAATTACGTCACAGCGTGAGAGTTCTTTGCTCGGAAAATGCGGCAAATATGAATTATGATTGCCCGATACGTGTCAATTGACCGTTCGGTCTGTTATTCTCAAGGTCATTGTGGAACAAAAAAAATAACAAGCCGCAACAAAATCTATCTTTCAGGGTGAACTACATTTACACAGAGAAAACTGAAGAGCACTATGGAGTGTTTGCAGACTTCCTAGCTAAATATAACAATTATATATAATTTTCAAAAAATGGTAACCTTTCCTTTTCCTTATTTTGCGTTTCTAAAAGAACTCCGCTATAAAATAATATTTCAGAATTATATTTATTCCATTTAAAACGTACTTTTGATGTGTTACAAAATATATTTAGTTATATACTCGTATGACTAATATTTTGTTTTTCCTCCGCCTTACGTGTACTTTATGTATATATTTTATATCATAAAAAATACAAGCATAAGCGAAACAAATATTTTCATTTATAAAATGCAAAATTTTTGAAAATTTGAATTGTATTTTTATTTAAAAAATTTATGTAAAATCAAATCGACTTGTGAGTTATTTTTTCCCCTGGTCAAAATTAGGCGGCCGACAAATTTGGGACAGCCGGACGGCAGAACTCAGCCATAAACCACTTCGCCGACGTGAACCTCACACACCGGCCCGGGCAAATAAAGCAAATTTACGAATTTATGTTGAAATTTATCGATAATGACTTAAAAGCCTTCAGGACAATGATTTAATGCTCCTCGCCCGCCGCTCGCCGTGTTCGCACATACAACACACAACGGGCCCAAGAACTACATATAGCAACGCCAACTCCAAGCTCCAAACTCAGATCTCCAAAGGCCAGAAAACTCTGATGTGGGTTTTTCAAATGTGAAGCCATGTTTAGATACGATAAAATTGAATTTGGATTGCATTTCGGGCCGCGGATCAGCGGCAAATGATCGATGATCGCTGGAAGTGTGCGCCGATTTATTTATGACTTGATTTTCTCTAGCGATCAGTCGATTTAATCAGTTCGCTCAGAGCAAATCGCTTAAAATTAAATTATATTCGCATTATATGTTTGGGTTAATTCAAATCAGCGATAGCAGTTGACAAATGGCAATCAAGCGGACTTAGGTTCAGCCAGATGGAGATAAGACAAAAATAAAATATGTATATATATTTGATATCATGTAGATCCTAATCACAAATTCCCAGGTTTCAAGTTCACAATATACAACATGGTCTGAATATCGTAATTGGCTACGAACTGCGTTTTCTTATAAGAAACGTATTAAAAAGGTAAGTTCAGGTAATCTTGTTTGACCATCTTCAGGTAAGAAAAATGTATTAGAATTTCTTAGAGGAAATATTCCACTTAAGATGTTATACCTCTGAGAGATGGTCCGACAAACTGGAAAGTGTTATACGAGACACCCTGTATGAAGGGTTTTTGGCAATGGTTTTTTCCCTTTTTTTCCTGGCCAATTCATCACCGACACTTCAAACTGGGCTGGCACAGCGCATAAATTTCATTACTCTGATCATCTTGCAGAACCGATCGATCGATTGGAGGGGAAAACCTGTAGCAGGGCTCTCGAATTTAGTTCAACTTTAATTGTTTTTTAACCAGCTTTTCGCGTTGGCTATAAGTGAAATTTGATTGATTTTTGAAGGGTATTTTTCATAAGCTTTTCGCCTTACACATGGGAAAAATGCTAGCAAATTGTTTTAAATATTTTAAGAGTTATTGTGTAATGTAAAATTATTCACAAGATAAAAATATATAACAGGTGAATTTAAAGTGCATAGATACAAATATCAATTAATCTAAAATTATTTTGTAAAGAAACATTGATCAGAAGGTGAAAGCATAAGGCGGGTGAAACAAAAATCCATAAATATCAAGAAATCATGCATCATAATCCCTATTTTTATTTTAAATAAAATCTGATAGCCGCATGTTTCCTCCTATTTTCCTCAGTGCCAATTTGAGTGCAATTTATGTTCGATCTTCGAGCACCTAGACCTCCTTCGGCTGACCTACTCTTGGCATTGTTCTTGGCCAAAACGGCAATCTCGGAGGCAAGCCGTTCGCCTCGCTCGGCTGGTGGCTTAGACCCGTGGAAAAGTCGGGGCGGCGAGGTGCTGAACGTAATTACATAATGGCGTAGTTAACCGTAATAAGCGCGACTTCTGCGCGCAGTGTGTGTCCTGAAAGGATTCCTGCCCCTTCCGCCGACTCCTGTGGCTGCCTTCTGCTATTTCTGCCCCTTCTTTTGCTATTTTGCAGCTCTTTCAGCCGCATGCCATAATTCAACTTCATGCTGCTCGTTGCCGCTCTCTTGTTGCACAAATTGCAGCTCACTTGGGCTGCCAGCGCTGCAACAATTACCGCCGAGCATCATTAAAAGCAAAGGTGACAAAAATTAGTAAACAAAGTGTTGAAAATTATGAGGCAGTCGGAGCGCTGCAAGGTGTCGCAAATGCGGAGGAGCAGGTGGAATCGGTGGTTCTGAGCGGGTTTCTTTGCTTATTTTTTCTTATTTATGGCTCTGATCTAGCTTACAGTGATTAAGTCGCTCAGATTGCCGGCCTGCTAATAAACTATCGCCAGATTGGCAGCCCAAAATGGGAGGTTTCTTAATAGAATAAGTGGAAAACAATTTTCAGTTCATTCAAAGTTATTTAGCCAAAAGGAATTTCGAAGAGCTCATTTCGCATGGGTTTGTCAAGTGGACCATGTTTTGGTGTGCCAATCTGAAAATTTTCCTTCTAACTAGTAGCATTTTAACATTAATTTATTTAGGAACAAGTTTTGAATGCTTCATGCCAAATAAATCTTGTTATATTTACTATATGTATGCCTTATATTTGCTTGTTAAAAATCTTGGTGTCACTTCATAAATTAAAGTATAGGTATACTAAAATGATACTGGTTTTTTAGATCAATTAATTACTAGAAGCATTTTTTAACTAAAAAAAAATATCCAAATTCGTGATTCTTTGTATTACAAATTATTTTGTTAAAGTTTTTTTTTATCAACATGAAAATAAATTTTATTAACATTTTCTTTGGGATATTTTTTTGTTCAATTTATTTTATCCACAAAATTTGTACATTTTCAGATTAATTTTTTGTTCTGACAAATTTATGTAAAATATATTTTGGACACACAGAATTAAACAATTTTGGAATATCTACTTTGAAGTATTTTTGTTTGAAAAAGTAAGTGCCTATACCTTGATAGCCAATAAGATGTACACATTTCCCTAACAAGGTCTGTTTTTCTGCGCCTCTATTTATTTTCCTTGGTTACATACATTAATGGTCGCCGATTATCTGTTTTCCCTACGATCGATTTGAGCTCTTCATTATTTTGCCAATACATGTTGACTTTGTCTGTTAATCGGAGCAGAGACGGCAATTAGTCACAGGATGACTTTTGCTGCAATCTGTTGAGCCTGATAACAACTGGGAAAACAACAAAGCTTTGGGTGCTCTAATAACTAATTGGGATGGGGGAGGGGGGTTCTTGGGAGGACTTTAAGTGGACTTGTGCTACAGTGGACACTCACTTTTGGTCGGATCTTCAGGACACTCACCTGCGATAGCCATCCAGGGGTAGAATGTGTGATTGCTGGCCTGGTGTAAACTGCTGGCGGCCGCCGTTTGGGCGGCAGCGGCGCCCGAGATGGTGCAGTTGGCATTCCAGGCGGTACCCGCTCCGGCCACGCCCACGCCGCTCTGTACGCCCCCGGCGTTGTTGTTGCCGCCGCCGCTGACGCTCACATTGCCGCCGGCACTGCCGCCGCGATGGCTAACGGGACTGCCGCCCGACGTGTCCAAGTAGCCGCCCACTCGGGAATCTGGGGTGCAGGCGGAGGGTCGAACGGGCATGCCACCCGCCGGATTGTTCTGTCCATTTGCATTGGCTGTATTGCCGCCGTTGGCGTTTCCCGTGGCACCTGTACCGCCCGCTCCGCCCCCGCCGCCCCCACCGCCACCTCCTCCACCATTCGAACCGCCCGTGTTCCAAATGTCCTTGTAGCCATTGACCGCATCCGCTTTGATATTCAGGCAATCCTGTTTGTAGGCCCCTGCCCCATCGCCGTAGATCTTGTTGCAGGCTGCCGTAATGCTGGCATCGTAGGGCGAGTCCTGGGTGGTGCGCTGCAGATGGTGGTTGGCATAGGGACTCATGCCCAGCGAGAGGGGGAATCCCCGGTAGGCCGCCGCCGCTGCACTGGCCGTCTGATCGTGGTGGCCGCCGCTGCCCATCGCCATTCCGGTGGCCTGGTGCGGATGGCCATAGAAGCCGGAGGCCTGCTCAAAGTACGAGTTCATTGCGCTGCTGGCGGTGAGAATCTTGGCGGTGCTCCGTCTGAGACGGGCTAAAAGTCGTTGGGGGCTTGACCGATTTCACAGGGATTTGGGTCCGGGGATCTCGGATTTTTGGCGGATTTTTAAAGACTCTCCTCAGCTATGTCTGGTGTTCATTACCAAAGGAAGGCCTTTGATTTTTTAAATAATTTGTAAACTCTTGATAAGACCTTCCAAATTTATAATAATTTTTAACTCTTGGTAAGTTTTTCCAAATTTCTTTTAAGCTTGTAAATATTTTTTTCTACTCCAAGTCTTTATTTTTTAATTTTGGTTTTTGTGTGTCTTTTATTTTTTAAAGATTTTTCTTCATATTAATTTTTTATTTCTAAAATATTTTTCACAAGCGGTTTGATTTTTGTTTGGTAAATATTTTTTAAAAAAGTTTATTTTTATTATTGCACTTTCCACTCGAGGCCTTTAATTTAATTTAAGCACTAATGTTTATTGAACATTAACTCGCATAAATAATTTTAAATATTTTTCCACTATTGTTTTTTGGGTTTCACAAGTGTTTTCGTATACTTTGTTGCGTTTTGGTTTGGTTTTTATTTAGCCAATTGCACTTTGCTCTTAATTGAATTCGAATTTGAATTTGAATACTTGTTTTGCGCTTTTGCCTTGGCACTATCAAAGGCTCGTAAGCGTTACGATTATTAGTATTATTATTGTTATTGCGATTATTATTATTATTTTTATGATTTTAACGATTTGAACGATTATTAGCCTTAGTGCTGACCGAACGGGCGCGAATGTGGCTAGTGACGAATTTCCTCGAATCGGGAAGCCAATTTTAGTGGAAAGCGACTTTTCCGCGCGGCATTCACGGGCGGACGACGCGTGGGCGAGCGGTAAAAGCGCTGAGGGCCAATAATAACAATAATGCCGCTGATAATGTGGATAATAAAACAAAGCGCGCGCCTGTTATCCAAACCGTTGCCATCGAACGAATGTGCCACCAAATCGCAGTTGCCAGTGTTTTGACTTTGCTCCGCCGAACCACTCGGCCCGCAAACCACTCGACTCGGCCCAAAACGAGTGGAAATGAATGCTCTAGCCAAAACAGAGAGCCGGAGAGTGCTCAAACCAGCCAGCTCGAATGAACTCTTGGCGATGCGATGCGATGAATTCATTCTCAGTCATCGCTCAGCCTTCGAACTTGTTTGAGCGCTCTGGCGCTCTCCGCTTTTCCCGGGGTGGGCGCCTCTCGTTCATCATTCGCGCGCAAGGAAAATGCGCTCGCCGCGGGAAATTCATCATGGAGGAGGGCTGATTTTCCTATCGGCCAACTACTCACTCAACTGAGTGGCGAAAAACGCTCCGTGGATGGCCAGCCAGTTGCTAGTTGCACGCCAAGCGCTGCACATCTCGCATTGAGTCGGTTTCACCGCACTTATGGATATGCCTTATTTCTGACATTCTGCTAGTACCAGACCCACGAAATTTATTTATTCCAAACATCACTATTTATTGATTTAAAAAAAAATTTAAATGTAAAATTTCTAAATCAAGTTATTTTATAAAAAAATATTCAGCATTGAACCATTTTTAGTACAGCACTTGTTAAATTAAGGCGCTTCAACGAATTTCTGTTAATAGATTTGTTGTTTATTAGCAGAGAGAAAATTACAAAAATGATTTTATGAAAAATACAGCTAATACATTTTTTATTTTTAGTTAAAAGATATTTCTAAAAGAATATTAAATAATAATGAAAATAGGAACGGACCATGCTAAAAGAGATATACAACAAAGTTACACCATGAAATTTGCTACAAATATTTTCTATATTCTCCGCTGGTAAAAGACTAAAGGTATTTGTGAAAAACGGAGTTTTTTTTAGGAATCGGAAATGAAAATACTTGTAAATGTAAAGAATAATAACGTATGCTATGTTAATGCAGAATTTTATTAATTGGTTTTTTTTTTATATGGATTAAATAAGAATGTAGACCATGGGACTTAGGAAGAAATATTTTTTTGGAATTGGGTGGGGATCCGAGAGATTAACGAAATAATTTTTAAGAACTCGCAAGGGTGTTATTTTTATAAGGTAACTTTACAAAAGAGAACGAAATAAAGTTTTCCTTAAGCCGTTAAGTCGACGATACTTCAAATGTCAGTTAAAAAGTCCTGATAATTTTAAGTTGATTAGCTATTTAGGATAATTTATTGGACGTGTGGATATAAAATAATCCTTTATTAAAAGCACTTATATACCAGAGAGCTTTATTGAAGTGTACACCTCTTCTGGCTTGCCTTTAAATTGTGATTCAACCGAGGAGCCGGAAAATTTGTGTGCTGCGGTTTTCCTTTTCTTATTCACATTCAAATTCGCATTCGAATCGAAATGTTCAATCCGTTCGCCAATACTTTCAATGGGATATTAATGTCAATGTAAATATGGCTGCGAATTGATGCTAATAAATTCATATGCATAATGCAAATAGATCGGGGTCTTGCAGACCGAGAACGCAGAACGCAGAGCGCCGAGCCATTCGAGAAAGTTTCGCAAATATTTGTCAAAGTTTCCACATTCGCACAAACGGCTCGTAGATTAAGCCAGAAACCGACGACGAACAAACAAAGTTGCTTGCCACAAGTGTTTGCAAAATAAACTTATTATAAGAAGAAATTTACTTTTCTACTTTTCCAGCCCCCGCCCGCACGCGCCATTTTCCATCCCCCGAAATTTTGGTGCCAAGTCTGAAAAATCAACAACAAGCGAAAGATACAAAAACTTGCACAAAACACAGATACACACAGGCACACACATTTGAATCGCATTCGGAGACGCGGCGACATTTTCCAAATATGCGGCCAAAAGCCCAAGGAAAACGAGGGAAAGCCAAGAGCAAAGCAAAAGTAAAAATCGCAGTCGCAACTGCAAACTAAATATCGTGAGTCGGGAATCCAGGACCCAGAAACTCGCAATCCAGGACCAAGGAACTAACTCGGCACCCAGGGGAAGGACACGAGTGCGAAGGACTCGCGGGGATGACAGAGAAATAGCCTCATAACCATTTGAAGCCATTCGAAGGCACATAAAAGGATCACAACAATCGCCGAAATGAGCCATAATGAGCTCGTAAAAATTTTGCTACCTAATATACTCGGGAATCTTACGGGTACGAGTATATTCAAACTTGCTACGTTATGGGGTATGCAATGGGGCAGCTCCCTGTTATTTTCCTTTCCCCTCTGTGGTTCCTGGTGGCTCCCTGGTTTTTTGCTCCTGCAGGAACCCCTCCGCCTGCAGAAAGTTGGGACTCTGAGTTTTGTTTTTGTTCGACATCGATGATTGTTTTTTCCTCCGCTGTGCATTCTTGAGTTTCATGATATCAGAGGAGCGGTTGGGGCTGTGGTTCGATTACTGATTGATTAATTTCGATTTTATAATGGCTCAAAAATAAATAATGGGAGGATGATTGGTTACTTGTTTTTTTTTTAACTGTTATATTATTTCCTTGGATAAATATTTATTTATTATTATTTTATTGAAGAGTTATATTTAAGAAAAATGCGACTAAATAAAAATAAATCCGATTATTTCGGCATACCTACTTAAAAATTAATCTTTTTACTGAAAGTTGAAGTTAGTCTTAGGTCATTTTATAGAAAACATTAAATGTGATAAATGTGATATAATATTATCCAACTAACTCAGAAGGTTTATCTTTAAATGTTCCTAAAGTTTAATAGTTTAGTTCGACTTTTGAAAAGACTACGTAATGCAATCAATTACTTCTTCTTCTGCATGTGTAAACACGTTTTAACAATTGAATCCACTGAATCCCCGCCCACACAACCCGAAAAGGGAGGCTTCGATTGTCTTGGCATAAAGTCGCAATGAGATTGTGCGATTCCCGATTCGCAATTCGATTCCCAGGCATTTGCATACAAAGCGATCTCATTTTCATATGGCCACCGCCTCCGCCTTTGCCGTCGCTCCACTGTCATCGGTAGCTTGTTGCGGCAATTTACGAGAGCTTCCGTTCTGCGAAAAAAGGGGAGTTGAGTGGAAAGCTCACACCTGTCCGAGTTGCCTAAGGTTACTCAGTTGCCCAGTGGCCATGGACAGTGCTAAACGTGGCCAATTAGCCCCAAGGCAGCCAAAACCGTGGCCCAAAAGCTGACTCCTCCTTCACACCATCGCCTTGATTGATGGCCTCCATTCGCTTTTGAGAACTGGTGCAGGGCAATTAGACAAGCTGTTTAATTGCCACCTTGGCAGCTCGTCTGCCTTCTCACCCGCTGTGTTATTGGCCACAATCGCTCAAATCGAGCGATGCCATCCGTGAGATAGGCGCACCCAATCTAATCATAGTCCAAAACCAGATACGTATACCCCACTCCACCTGGAATTCGGGGGGAGCCCACTTACGCAGCTAATAAAGCAGCAATTTGGCAGCTGGAAGCGCCGGCGCTGACGCCAGTCCAAAACATCAAACGGCCAGTACGAGTATCCAGAACCCCTCCTCCATCTGAGATCAAAGTTTCGGGGCCCCGAGGTTTATTTACACAGAAATGTTCAACAAAATACTCGTACTCCTCGGTGCCTGGCCTCCTGCACTCGCCGTTTGTTTACGTATTGTCTATAAAGATTTTGGCTCTGTCTTTCGGCATTTTTCGGTTCGATGGGGCTCGGCACCTGTTAGATGGTGCACTGAGCGAAAAATATGAGACTTTTTGAGAAAGAATATGAAACACTAAACAATTTGATTGAAATATTATTTTACACTTAGAAAGATCTCTTAATACTTCGAGTATTTGTACACGCAACATTTTCAATATTTTTCCTACAATATTATGACTATGACAGCCCATTTGTTGTTAACTTACTTGTAAGCTATTTTTTACTGTGTTACTTGTGGGTGGTGCTTTGAAGGGCGCTTTTCTCGCCGCCCTACAGATTTATCACGCCAATCGTTCAGAATTTTCAAAGTCAATACATTTTTCTGTCGATTTTCGGACTTTGATGAGACCGAAGCCAAGTGATCGCGAACCAAGATGGTGTCGACAACTTGATGGGCCAACAAATGGCCGAGTTTGATGCATTTGGTATTCAAATGTCTTATTGATTGGTGCCACTAATTAGTTATGATTTTTCAAGGGGTTACCTTGTTCCAATTAAGATCCATTAAAAATATTTTTGTTTTAAAAACATTTTTCAATCGTTTTTTCTTAAATAAGTTTTTTATACTTTTACGTTGTGTTTATTTTAATAGGTCTATATAT